ACACACACACACACACACACACACACACACACACACACACACACACAGACACACAGACGCTGCGTCGTTTGCCAAACATAACTCAATATCAAGGTAACATTTTTTGGGGGGGGATTTGTCGAAAGAAAGCGGTATTTTTCGCAAATACTGACTTGTGGCTTCTGCGACAGTTTTAACAGCGTGATGATTCCCGAACACGCAAACTGCAAATGTTTATACACTCAGCTGTCGGTCTGCTCATGAATGTTCATGTTCAATAATTTGACAGACTTTCTATTGTTTTCAATTCTTAGTTCACGACGGGAGATGAATGGAGCAACATGGAATAAAAAATAACCACATGTTCGCTCTGCTTGATGAGATTAGAAATAGAGAGTATAAAAAAGAGTAGACTTCAAGTGTGGCATTCATGTGCCCTGGGACAGATCATTTTCACTGACTGATTGCGTCAAAACACTGTAAAATCTACTGTCTTCAGAAAGCATGTTGATAAGCATGTTCTGCAGTAGAAAGTGCATGTGTGGAGGTGCCAAATGTGCAAATCTTTGCCACAAGATAATCAAAAGAAGCTCATAAGTGCCGGAGAGAATCTACATTATTAATGTTTCATTTTCTGGGTATTTACGACCATTTTTGAAGAAAGAAAAATGGATTGCACCCTTGATTTGTAATGTGTATGTGACCTGTTGGTTGTGCTTGTAGTAGTGCATCACCACAAATCAAACCTTCTCCCTTTAGTATTAGATGAGAGACGGTGGGTCATATACTGAATAATATGTAACAGGGGAAATATGATTGCAATGTAAACTTTGTGTGTTTCTGTAGTTTTTTTATTATTGGAAAACCCCTTTGTTTCCTGTTTCTGTTTGTGTTAATAATCGTTTGTAACATAAAAATCAAATAATATAAATAAAGTTATTGCAAGAAAAGTTATAACAAGAAGAATACAAGTTTGTTGGATGCAACACAATATATGAGAAAGATATTTCTTTATGATCTGTTTCAGTACAGCTACACTTACAGAGTTTTCATTGCATATATTTTGTGGATTAACAACATCAGTGGTATTTTGCCCGGGAAAAAAAGAGAACGCAGGGGATCACAGTGTCTTCTTCCTGGCCGACAGATAATGCACTCCCTGGTGTCTGATTCGCACTTTGCTCTTTTGCTCTGGAGAGCTGTAACCAGAGTTCCGCTGAAGAGGTCGCGCAAGGACTTCTGACGGAGTTCAGCCTGTGCGTCAGTGAGTGGAGAGCTGTGTGTGTGTGTGTGTGTGTGTGTGTGTGTGTGTGTGTGTGTGTGTGGGCGCGTTCGCGTGCGCGCCCGTGTGTGTGTTTCATTCAATGAAATGCAACACCCCGCTCTTCTGTCTGAAGCCTCTTCGGAAACAGGTTTGATTATATTTAAAAGCTTGACCCGGGAGAGAAACCCAAACAACTGTCTGTTCTAATATTAGCCGCGCGGCTGCGGGACTATTATGATTTCTATTATTGTCTGGGGGCGCGGATGTATACCAAAAAGGCAACTCTTATCAAAAGATTTACACTTTTGTCTGCAGTTGGTGGAAAATAAATATCAGTTACCGACAAGTAGTGCCCCTTAATTTGAAGGACTGACAGTATGTCCGGATAGGCATGTTGGCTGTGGGCCCGTTTGATCATACAGTAATAAAGCCCCTGATATATGAGTACAAATGACCTTCATTATCACTATTATTATTGTTATCATTAATATTCATATGTTTTAATATGTATTACAGCTTTAAAGGCGCAAGTGCGTAAAAGCGAGCTATCCGCGTCGCACTGATATATCGTGATGATAAAAACCAAAACAATTAAAAATTAAACGTCAATAATAGTATTCTCCATCAAAACACAAATCCATATCAACTGACACAGTGTGTCCGACCTGCCGTGTTTGCGCTTTTGTTTCACCGCAAAAGCCGCGTAATTCCGAAGTGCGGCATCTTTACTACATATTCAGCCATATAATCGCTTACTATATCCTCCGATTAATGTGGCAAAGAGAAAGTTGCTCGTATAACGATGTCACCTGATGAGGATTGAAAGAACTTTAGTGAAGAAAAAAAAAGAAGAAAAAAAAAAAAAGAAAAGAAAAATCTCCCCACCCCCAACAGAAGAGGAGACCGCCCACCAGAGACAGTCAACCCGAGACCCCTTATAGATTTAAAAAGAGAGGCTGCATTCTCAGACTGACACTTATTCAACACTGCCACCTTAAGCAGATTACTTTTTTGCGCTGCCTGTGTCAAACACGTAGCTCACTTCGCTTCTCTCCATCATGTTCAGGATGCTGAAACACCACCTTCACCCGGGCTTTTTTGTCTTGTTCATATGGCTTTGTCACCTCATGGAACATCAAAAAGTTCAAGGTAAGCTCTCTTCTGCTATTTCCTTTTATTCTTTTTTTCCCGTTTTGGAAAAAAAAACAACTTCCGACGTGCTGTCAGCCACACGCACAAAAACGCGTTCTTGCTGCAATCGAGAAACTTTTCAAAGTGAGTTTCCTTATTATTTATTTCTCTCTCCTCGCTGATTAAACTCTCTCTGCATCAGACGGTGCGTGCGCGTATAAAGCGTCCATAAAACAGGTGCCATATGGGACACTTCAAAGTGAGACTATAGGCAAGTTACGCGGCACACACTTGGAAGCCGCCACGCCGTGCCGGTGGCAGCGCCAGCTCTCTACCCACCTGAGCATATAGTGATACGGTGTTGTCTTCAAACCCTGTAAGAAACTTCAGAAATATCCACTGTGTTTCATTTAGGGCGTGATATAAATATTTTCCGCCGCACAAATCCACCCAAAACATTTTTTTGTGTGTCTTGGGGGGGGGGGGGGGGGGGGGGG